AGTTTAACCCAAATATTCAGATGTGTCCAGTGCATTTTATGGAGGACTGTTTCCTGATCCTGGTAGAGTGACTGCTGGCTGTTCTGACTTCAGACTGTAAGTACGTTTTTTATATTTAAAGGATTTGCCACTGATGATTCAAACGCGAGTTTTGGGCAGTGTAGAGTAGGGCTTGTAGAGTAGGGCTTGTTGAAATTGTCATTTCTCCAATCACAAATGCAGACATGGTTTTATGTTTAGACAGTTTGCTTCTAGTTATCAAATTTCATTCTCATTCGCTTAGTTTTCAAATCTCATTCACGGTCATGTTCAGTTCAAATATGGTATGACGTCAATGATGTCAAACGCTTTACGAACCATACACACATTTTTTTTTACATTGAACTGAATGTTTTTAAGTAATTTTTTTTCATACATTTTTGCACTGAATATGATCTAAATAGTAATGATTTTAGGAACAGGAACAGCATTGAAATGAATGCAGTATTTGATGTAAAAATTTTTACATAAAAAGGTTTTATGAATTATTTATGTAAATTTTGCATTGAAATTATTGCATTAATTTATGGTTTTACAGACTATTGTCATACATTTTTTGCATTGAATTGAAAGTGATAATTTAAAAATGGCTATACAATTTACATAAATTTTTTTACATAAGTAGAGATTTACAAGTAATATACGTACATTCTCACATTAGACAGAATGAGATCATTTACATAAGAAAGGTTGTATTAGTATTTATGTAATCTGGACATTGAATTGAATGTGATAATTTTCATGAAAATGGTTTCACAAATGATTTATTTACATTTTCACATTGAACTGAATGTAATGATTTACAGAAGAGTGATTTTAAGAAGAATTCAGGTAAATTTTCCCATTGTAAGCGATAATTTATGTAACAATGGTTATACAAACTATTAACATGTCTTTTTTATTGAATTAAATGCAATAATTGTGACCCTGGACCACAAAACCAGTCATAAGGGTCAATTTTTTGAAATTGAGATTTATACATCATCTGAAAGCTGACTAAATAAGCTTTCCATTGATGTATGGTTTGTTAGGATAATATTTGGCCGAGATACAACTATTTGAAAATCTGGAATCTGAGGGTGCAAAAAAATCTAAATATTGAGAAAATCGCCTTTAAAGTTGTCCAAATGAAGTTCTTAGCAATGCATATTACTAATCAAAAGTTACGGTTTAATATATTTTGAGTAGGAAATTTACAAAATATCTTTATGGAACATGATCTTTACTTAATACCCTAATGATTTTTGGCATAAAAGAAAAATCTATAATTTTGACCAATACAATTAATTTTTGGCTATTGCTACAAATATACATACCCCAGCGACTTAAGACTGGTTTGTGGTCCAGGGTCACAATTTACTTAAAAATAGTTATACAAATTTATGTAAAACTTTGTTTTTAACAGAATGCAATCATTTACATGTGTTTTACAAGTAATTTACATATTGTCAGACTTTGTTCCGTGTTTTGTGTGTCTTGCTCCCCATGTGCCTTCCTATGCCCATATTTGGTTAGTTTCCTGCTCCTTTCCTGATTAGGTTGATTTGATTCCAGGTGTTCCCTGTTTTATGTCTATTGATCCCAGGTGTGTCTCGTCACCTCCTCATCCTGTCCTGTGTTTAAATAGTGTTCCCTGTCTTGAGTTCAGCGTCCGGTATTGTTTATGTCTACATGTATAGCGTGAGTGTTCCTTTGTGTCAGTTATACCCATTTGGATTGATGTACTCCTCGTCTTTCTCCGTTCCTTGCTCCTCACTCCGCTCCGCAATGCACTCGTGACAGAATACCGGACCGATACAGAAAGTGAGCGGCGCCTTTCTCCCCCCGTTTGTTTTTTGGTTTTCTGAAAAGAGTTTTGTTTTTGTTTTTTCCCGTGCGTTTCTCCCCGCCATAATGGAGGAACGAGCATTGTTCATCACAGTGGCTCAAGCAAGCCCATACTCTATCGTCTTCGCAAGGGCTTTTGTACCGCTCGCCCTGGCCAGCTCACTTGAGGGGGAAACCCTCGCAACGCTGTTCCGGATCGGGATGACGTTCCATCATCCCACGGAGCTCCCAGACACGACCAACCTCGACTGGAAGGAGACAGTCATCCGGTGTCTGGAGAGTCTCCGATCCCGATCCGGAACCCCTCTGCTGGCAGTTCCCGAGTCAGTTCAGCCGAGCTCGCTCCAGTGTCGGCTCCAGGCCCAGAGCTCGCTCCAGTGCCAGGACCACGTAAGGGCTACCCTGTTCCCCCAGTTAGGCCCAGGGAGGGTTCCTGTTCGCTCCAGTGTCGGCTCCAGCCCCAGAGCTCGCTCCAGTGCCAGCACCACGTAAGGGCTACCCTGTTCCCCCAGTTAGGCCCAGGGAGGGTTCCTGTTCGCTCCAGTGTCGGCTCCAGCCCCAGAGCTCGCTCCAGTGCCAGCACCACGTAAGGGCTACCCTGTTCCCCCAGTTAGGCCCAGGGAGGGTTCCTGTTCGCTCCAGTGTCGGCTCCAGCCCCAGAGCTCGCTCCAGTGCCAGCACCACGTAAGGGCTACCCTGTTCCCCCAGTTAGGCCCAGGGAGGGTTCCTGTTCGCTCCAGTGTCGGCTCCAGCCCCAGAGCTCGCTCCAGTGCCAGCACCACGTAAGGGCTACCCTGTTCCCCCAGTTAGGCCCAGGGAGGGCTCCAGGCCCCGAGTACAACCCCGTAAATTTCCCCAAGTATTTTCTCGGAGGCTGCTCCGCCATGGCCTCCTAAACTACCTGCTCCACCATGGCCTCCCAATGCTCCGGATCCGCCATGGCACCCCGAACGGGTACCGCTCTGGAGGCCCACTGTCCCCTGTCTGTCCTGAGGGACCTCCAGAGTGCTCACCCCCCCCTCCCCATTGGATGTTATATGGCGTGAGGACACGCCTTCCGGAGGGGGGCGTTATGTCAGACTTTGTTCTGTTTTGTGTGTGTCTTGCTCCCCATGTGCCTTCCTATGCCCATATTTGGTTAGTTTCTTGTTCCTGTCCTGATTAGGTTGATTTGTTTCCAGGTGTTCCCCGTTTTATGTCTATTGATCCCAGGTGTGTCTGGTCACCTCCTCATCCTGTCATGTGTTTAAATGGTGTTCCCTGTCTTGAGTTCAGCGTCCGGTATTGTTTGTCTACATGTATAGCGTGAGTGTTCAGTGTTCCTTTGTGTCAATTAAACCCATTTGGATTGATGTACTCCTCGTCTCTCTCCATTCCTTGCTCCTCACTCTGCTCAGCAGTGCACTCGTGACACATATATTTTCACATTAAAAGTGATCATTAACAACATTGGTTTTATTAACTACTTTTGCAATTTTCACTTTGAATTGAATAGGATAATTTAAAGAATGTTTTTGCAAACAATTCGTGTACAGTTTTACATTGACTTGAATGCAATAATTCATGTATAAATGATTTTTAAACCATTTACACAAAGTTGTGAGTAAATACTAATTTCAACTTACCTTCTGACAGGTCTCAATAAACTCCTCAATAGTGACCACACCATCTCGATTTCTGTCCATTTTCTATAAGAAAATGTAGTAAGCGTTAAAAGCTCTTAAGGCTCTGGTAAGATCGTGTGCATTGATTTTATATTGTCTTCATATTGTTAAATGTGCTGGTACCTGGAAGAACTTTTCCACATGTTCAGATGGAGCTTCATCTCTCACACTGGGGTAGGTATACCTGCCCATCATGTCGTAGATTGACTTCATGATTAACAGCATCTCCTACAACACACACACACGTCACTTATGACTATTTGAGTCTACATGACAAAAGCATCAGTGATGGAACCACTGGAGCATAAGAGCATAAAGATTTAGCAAGCACCTCTTTAGTGATGTATCCATCCTTGTTGATGTCATAAAGGTTGAAAGCCCAGTTGAGCTTTTCAGTGACAGATCCTCTCAGCAACACGGACAGACCAATCACAAAGTCCTGCCACAGACAGTAGAGAGTGGACAATGAAGAAAAAAAAAGAAAAAAAAGAAAGAAGCTGTGATTATGGATATTCTCACCTCAAAACGAATCGAGCCATTTCTGTCAAGATCAAATGCATTAAAAAGGAAGTGGGCATATGTGGTGGCATCTGAGGGAACAATAACAAATAGATCAGTAAGAAAAACAGACTAAACTTCCAATTAGTCTCAAATCAGAATTCATGCAAAACCAATAAACACATTTACTGATTTAGTGAAAAACACATGCATTTACCCCCTTGGGGAAAGAACTGAGAGTAGATGGTCTTGAAAGTTTCCTCATCAACCAAACCACTTGGGCACTCCTTAAATGGAAAGAGAGGCACATCTAATTAAACATTTAATTAAACAGATAATGGACTAATTCTCACTGTGCCACATCGGCAGCTCGTGAAGGCTTTAAATAAGTGCATTGTGCTAATTTTCTGTCCTATATAGTACTGTACACATCTGCTGAAACAAACAGAACGAACAACATTTTCTACCCCAAAGCTCCTCCTTAAAGATAAACTGTGTCATTTTTTAATGAATAATTGAAATACTACTACTACTTTCTGAAATCAGGTTTTCACATTGTGGACAATAAAATGGGTGGAAAAAAAGAGACTTATGTTAAGTGAGTCATATCTAGGGACGAGAATATCATAGAGACTTGGGCTATTTTGCTCTGATGGATCAGTTAGAAACCATCTAGAATACTCTGGAAATTGTGTTAGTGAGTCAAGTGGATAAATATCAAAAATGTGAAAAATCTGTCTTTTTGCAGTTCTGTTTGGAGTTAAATTTCAAATTGAATGCGCAACATAAAACTTTTTCATATCATTGATTTATTTCTTTTAAAACTGTACCAAACTGCAACAGTCTTGATAGTTTGTCCCACCACAAAAAGTAAACAACCGACCACAAACATTAACTACCTAATATTTGTTCTCTCTCTTTTACAGATACTCACGTTTTTGAAGCCCCTATAAAGGGACTGCAGCTCCTTCTTGGTGAATTTGGTCTGAGCCTGCAGCTGCTCCAGACCCTCAGGCTGATGTCGCACCGTGGACAGCTCGAGGTCACTGTCACTGCTGTCTATGGGAGAAAAAGTGCAAAAAAAGAGAGAGGAAGAGGAGGAAAGCAGAGCGATAGAGAGGGAAGGGGTCGGGAAAGGGGTGAGTTTATGGGATGCAGGACGGGATGGGGTGAGAGAGCATTTCAAAGAGGGAGACAGTGGTTGCGAGGAGAGAAAAAGGAAGAAAAAGGGGAGTAAAAGCAAAAGAGTTAGCATAAAAGTCAAAGATGTGCGGGAAGAGGAAAGAGAAAGAAATGGAGGTTTGATAGACAGGGTATCACTTTCTTTTTCCAATGTAACTGACTCTTGATGTCAATGCGAATTACTTTAATTTAGGGTTCCCATACTGTTAGACTACAGTAATTATCATTGCTGGATTTAAGTATTTGTTTCTTTGGAGCTCTGCTAGTGTTTGGATATGAGTCAATCACATAATGAAGAAAGCACCCCACGAAAAGAAAAGGAGATAGACCAAATAACAAACAGAAGAGACTAAACTAGACAGGTGCTTACACTCACCGTCTTTACAAAAACAGATAAAAAGTGAGACAGGGAGGCACAAGGAGGACAGAAAGGGTCAGAGAGAGTGAGAAAAGAAAAAAGAGAGAAACGGTCAAATCAAAAAGTCCACAAAAAATAGAGCAATCACTTAAAAAAAGTCGGCAAATTGATGGAGGAAGAGAAACTACCGTATCAGTTTTGTTACTGTTAACTAAAACTATTCAAATCGTCATAGTACTTTAATTAATCGTGTTAATTGAAATGAAGTTGAAATAAAATAAAAATATTAGATGAAAAACTACTTTTAAAAACCTAAACAAAAATGAGGAATGTTGCTTTGACAACTAATAAAAATATAAGTTTAAGTACTAAAATTACTTAAACTAAAATAAACTAAATATAAATGAAAAATGACCAAAGCACATAACAAAATGACTAAAATTTTAATTAAATTTTAAATGGAAAATATTAAAATAATTTTAAATATTAATAAATACTATAATAGTATATAAATAATATTAAAAGAGCAGAGCAAATAATCCTGTCATGCTTTAGGGAACAAAAACAGACATTTCTTGAAAACGCAAAGAACTGGAAAATCCCTCAAAAATTGGGAGAGAAAAAAAAATTTTTCCAAGTTAAATACAATCCATCTGGCATGCTGTTGATTACCAGACATGGAAAAATAACAAAAACGAAATAAAACAAAACACTTTTTCTCAATCAGTACTTTTGTTTTCCAGTAAAGACAAAAATATCTAAACATCCTTAATACAATATAAATGTATTTAAGAAGCAAAACATGACAATAAGGCAATATATGTATAGTACTGATAATAAATTAAAACTAAATTACATTAAAATATTAGCTTTCTTGTGTTAAGCTTCAAGCTAACAAAAGTGAGTTAGTGAGTTTTTATTTCGGGTAAGAAAAATCAACTACATTCAAGATAAATCCTCTGAATATTATAAGCAACTGTGCCTCTCAAATAAATGTATTTTGTTTTAAGGAAGATTCGATATTTTGACTGAAATGCCACAAATGCTGTCAACAGAGGAAACAATCTCTAAATATCATCTATAAACAATATCTCCATTTTGCAATCCCTGAAATGATGTTTGCTATTTTCTCTCTCTTTCTCTCACCTGTCTCAGTAATGTCTATGAGTCCAAGCAGATGCATGAGTTTGAGAAACATGATGACCAGGCAGACAATGCCCACAGTCTGTAACCCCTCTGTCTCCCATCTCACACTCATCCTGACACTCTGTCCCTCAAACACTCTTTCACAGCACGTCTCGTTCTTCCAGCTCAGTCCTGTTTTAGAGTGTTAATTCCACAAGCTTCATAAACGAAACATAAGTATCCTAGAAAGCCAATAACGTAATTGAGGTAAAAAGATGGGCAGATGTCCTGTTTCGAGAAACATCTGTCACACATTTTGGAAAAGTCTATAAAACCTGCAAAAGCATCTTATGTTGATGTCATCTTGTCTTAGTCTTGTGTCCAAAATGAATTTGGAGTCCAGATATACGCTGGTAACTCTCCTCTCTCATTATTTCTTAGCCTCTGTTCTTCTCACATCTATTTAAAAGTTCACTCTGACACAATTTTCAAAGGGAATTGAGAAAACTCCCACTCAGGAGACAAGGTTGTCCCAATTAGATTTAGACACAACCCCAACATGAATTTTGAACTTTGACATGATGATAAAAAAACAGACACCTTGTTTCTGCTTCAAATGAGTCAACACAGCAAATCATCATGTTTTGTGGTACATCTTCGTCCTCAGAACTGCAGTTCAAATGAAAGTTCCCTGACAAAAGTAAAAAGATTTTATGCCTTTGACTGGTCTGGAATGGACATCTAATATTTGAAGTTGTTAGAACAGATGCACACTCACAAGGTGCCCTAAATCCTGCTTCCCCTGTCTTGTGAACCAGTTTCCCACGACTAATTGTTCTCTCTGTATTTCAGCCTTTGTGATATGACTGTGATCTACAGAGACTGTTCTTCATTTATCCTTCTATTGGCAGCATTGTTATTCACTGCTCTCTTTCCAAGAGTGATCTTTTAAATTTGGTCATGCACAACAGATTTATGACAACCAAAACCATTAGCTACTGTTCTAAAGTTCGGGGTCTTTAGGATTTCTTTAAAAAGTTTTTGAAAGAAGCGTCTTATGTTCACCAAGGCTGCATTTATTTAATCAAAATACAGTAAAAATCGTAATATTGTCAAATAATATTACAATTTAAAATAACTGTTTTCTGTTTGAATATATTTAAAAATGTAATTTATTTCTGTGATGGCAAAGCTGAATTTTCAGCAGCCATTACTCCAGTCTTCAGTGTCACATGATCTTTCAGAAATCATTCTAACTGGCTGATTTGATGCTCAAGAAACATTTTATTATCAATGAAAACAGCTGTGCCGCTTAATTTTTTTGTGGAAACAGTGATAATTTTTTTTTATCCAGGATTCTTTAATTAATTGAAAGTTCAAAGGGAGCATTTCTTTGGAATAGAAATCATTTATAGCATCATAAATGTCATTTTTGATCAACTTATAGCATGTTTGCTTCATTTCTTGCAAAAAATAACTTTTGAATGGCAGTATATATTATCTATTGTATTCCTTTTATGCCTAAGCATGAGACCGTCAACAGAGAAATGCTTTTTAGAACCAAAATTTCCCTGCGTTCCATTCGGAAGGGCTCATCCCTATGCCCTAATCCCTTCAAAGGGTTTACCCTCCGGAGTGAGAGCTTCGAAGGGCTGAAGGGTGTAGGGGACCGAACTACTTTCTTGAAGTGCCCTTCTGCGTCATGATCTCGTGCCCACACGGAGGAGCCGTCATCATGCAAAGAATCTGCGCAAAGGATCATGGGAGGCCTAAGTGTCCATGAGTTGTACCCTTCGAAATCCTTCATTCCGAAGGGCCCTTTGAAGCGTCCAGTTTTGAGCACTTCGGTTTGGAACGACCCTTCAATAAAGCGGCCATGATTGTTTTTACTCCGAAGTGCCCTTCGGAGGGCGATATATTCCGTTTGGAACGCACCGTGTCTAACCACGCTAACCAGCCAAACCTTGACCCCTTGGTTTCTCGCCTGAGCTCAACATCTGAGATCATGTAAAGAAACATCGCCCTCTAGTGGACAGTTCTTCATGTCTGCGGTGCACAACAGTAGACAATTTGCATTAAACTATAAGCAGAAACATTCAAGTTGAACAAAATAACAGTTGACATCATATTCCTCTCATGCAACAGAGCTGGCACATACTGATCATTACGCACGCTTCCCTTCAAAAGTAATACTTCAGCATCTGTGGTTACATATTAGATTCACACCAGCAGAAGCCCAAAATAAACTTCACTCTCCTGAAACACGACTCTCAGGAATAGTCAGAGCTGTAGTAAGTGATGCCACTGAGCTAAAAATAGCCCCCTGCTGATTCGTTGGGTGGTCCGGCTCATGGGCCAATGCTGGAAGAAGATTTATGTATAGATTACAGGAGGCACTCAGACACTTCCAGATGATCAAGTGTTTATATGCATAACTGTCTGTTATAAAAGGTGATGTGTTATACCTATACTGTTAGCACCTATATACCGTATATCCTTGCTGAAAAAAATGGATAAACCAGCCTTAAAACTGCTGGTCTTAGGTGGTTTTATCTGGTCTACCCTGATTTCCCAGCCTGACAGCTGACAAGTTGTCAAAGACTCATAAAAATACACAAACCAGTCCAGCCCAATACGGTTTAGAGAAAAGCTACGACCAGTTTAAGCCACTCAAAGTGATTACAATTAATTATTGCAAAAATATGCATGACTCTATGAAGTTTTATTTTTTTTATCAGGATACTTTTAATGAAAAAAAAGACTGATAGTTGGAGATTGATTCTCGTTAATAATAGTGACTCTGTCACCTCTGTTCCTGAAAGTCAAATAGACGAGACACGAATGTCAAGACCATTTAAGGAAAACCGGACAAAAATAAACAATTGTACAGACAGATTAATCAAGCAAGAATATGTATGTACAATACAGCACACAGATGCCAAATATTTCACATAGTTGTAGGCCAATCTTCACTCTTTATGCCTTGATAGTAAGTAATTCAAGACAACAAAGATGCGACAAGACACAGGGCACGTCCACCAGACGATAGACGAAATGTGGAGAACAGTGGAGAAAATAAAAATATCTCCAATCTCAAGCTTTGTGACTCCAGAGGAAGTGCATCTTCAGTATATGAAGGTGCTGACTCTGATCTGTACTTTCAGAAATGATTGGTGGATATGATATTGTGATGAAGTGAGGGGTGAGATGGAATTGGACAGTGCCCTTCAGGACCCAGTACAGAGACCAGCGGACCCATTTTTAGGTAGCCGTAAAGAAAGCCTGTTCAATACAGCATACATAATGAATGAAGTGTAATGTTAGACTGGATTTTGATTCAAAGAGAGAAAGTGTGTGTTCGTGTTTGAAAGAGAGAGAGAGAGAGAGAGAGAGAGAGAGAGAGAGAATGCAGTATTTCTGACACCAATATAACATTCTCATTAAGTTACTTGTCTTTGAGTATGTAGTAAATAATAAGAAAAAAATAAAATAAAATCTGGACGTGTCGTTTGTGCAAAACAAATCACATACTAGCACATCATAAACCTAAACAATAAAACGTTTCCTATAACATTTATCATTAATAACAGATACACTCACACAGATATAATCAGCTATTTAGGTAGTTATACAGTAAGTCCATGAATATTTTTTTTTAAATCAACTTCAAGATTTTGGGTTTAAATGTTAACAAATGTATAAAGAAACACCTGTATTTCTCATATTTAATTTTTCCTTATTTAACTGAGCACAGTTTTTACGCCATTTTAATCACCTTTTTTTTTTAAGTGTAACATTTAGTACAGATTAATTAGTCTCCTAATTAATAAGGTTATAAAAGCAGCAAGCATAATAATTATGAAAGAATTGATAAAATGCTG